TACAAGTAATAATATAAAATTACAATAATAATAATAATAATAATAATAATAATAATAATAATAATAATAATAATAAAATAACATCACAAAAAAATAACATAAAAATAAGCATAAAAAATAAAAATCAAAATCAAAATGAAAAATAAAAAGAAAAAAAAAAGAAAAACCTGTGAAACGGGTCGGGTTGGTGTGTGGGTCGACACGCGGATCCTATCCGGGCAGGTTCGATCCAGACGTCCAAAACGATGTCGTTTTGGAGGGCCTATAAAAAGCCTATTTTAGTTTTTAGTTTTTATTTTTTCTTTCCCCTTTCTCTCTCTACCCTAAAGCCCTTCTTTCTAAAATCCAGACACCCTTCGCCAGCTGCCGTAGAGCCCAGTTTCTGGTTGGTTGTCGTCGTGCACTGATGGTCGAAAACTTTAACGGTGCTGAAAAATTCAAAGATCCCTAGATTTCGATGGTCAAAAAATAAAATTTAACGGTCATTGAAAAATTCAAACTTTTTCAGATTTCGGTGCTGAAAAATTTAACGATCGTTGAAAAATTAAAACTTTTTCAGTTTTCAAAGACCCAAAAATTTTTTTAAAAATTCTAAAAAACTCTTTCAATGATCCTTTTTGCTTTCTAAATACTTTTTCAAGCCCAGATTTTTTCAAAAAAAAATCTACAACTTTCTAGATTGAGAATTTCATTCTCGGGAAATTTTTTTTTTTGTGTTTGCTGTTCTTCTTCTTTTTTTTTTTTATTGTGTGTTCCTCTTTTTTTTTTTTTTGTTCTATCTTCTTTTAGTTTTTGCAAAACTTAGTTCTATTTATAGAGCTTTTGGGATTCAAGATCCTAGATCTTCTGGAATTTTTTTTTGTGAAAAATTTGTCTATCTTATGATTTTTGGTCACCGGATTTTAAGCTACCAAGTTAAGCAGTGTCAGAAAGAAAATGTCACTCTGACAGCTTGATTTCAGCTGCCAGAGTTGAAACCAAAAGATTTGTATTTTGACTTTTTTTTTTAATAATAATAATAATAATAATAATAATAATAATAATAATAATAAAATATAATAGTCAAATTTGGTGTCTATAAGTTATACTAAAAATTATAGGGTTGATTAGTAATTTAGTATTGGAACTATATCATTTTGTTAATTCGATATTTAAAGAATAAAAATTCCTTATTAAATATTTTTTTTGAACGATTCATAATTAAAAACTTAAAATTTTCGTTTCTTTACATATTATCTCATATATACTCAGTTGACATCAAGACGATGTGATTTAAATACAATTAACAATAATGACAAATGATTAAAGCGCTAGGCTTCTTTTTTTTTTTTTAATTTTTGAAAAAAAACGAAAAAAAAAACTATATTCAATAAAAAAAAATGAAATCAAGAGATTAAAAACCAGTAACATGCAAATTGGTTACAACAATAATCAAGCAATGGAGCGTAAATGGATCATCCAATTAGCTGTCGGCTCCATTGTTTCCTTAGTTTTGCTTTATTTTTTAACAACCTCAACTTCATTTGATGGTTCCCCATTTCTTTTCTTCCACCTTTCCTCCGTCGTAATTGGCGGCTCCTTTCTCTTTCTAGCAAAACCAACTAAAATCCATCCCAATTTCCTCCTTCTGTCCACCTCCTCACTTTGCCTACCTAAGGCTTCATTAGTGGCTATTAACCAGCCAACTTAAAATCAATTAATTATAAACAAAGAGATTCAACTTAAACATAAGATTACAAGAAATTAAATATTTATTAAAGGTATGATAACCCACTTTGATGGGCCTCTATCACCTATAGGTATGAAGATGGAAAATTTTTTTCACGTAATAGATTTGGCATGTTAAACATTCAACTTATTACTAATAGATAGTTAATGGCGAGACTCAATTTGAATATAAAATTATAAAAAATTAAATATTTATTAGATGTGAGATAATTCACTTTAACAATTACGACAAAGGCTAATTTATATGAAATTGTAGAACACAATTTTGTTGAAAAAAATTTGAAAAAAAACTTATAGAGGTGCAATTTTGTTGAAAGAGAGTCGTTGAGAAAGAAAAGAAAGAGAGGAACTAGGAAGAAGTAGTCGATGGAAGCTTAAAAATTGAAGACTGTAGAGGTTGTCTCTTACCATTAGAATGCTGAACTTACCGTCAGTTCGAAGGAAATGGAGTTGGCATCATATAAATCCAATGCTGATGCATATATCCAACCAATATAGTACAGTTAAAGATTGACAATAATTAATAGAATAACAGTGCGCTTAATAAAATAAATTTTCAATTGATTGTCAGTATGTCACAAGGCATCATTTTATTTCTGAAATAATTGCTTACTTTGAGATCCGATCATGCCAAGCTTTGAAATTGTTTCCAAAAATTCATCTAAACATAAGGTCCATGATTTCAATACAAAATGTTAAGCTTCTTTCCAAAATACAACACTGGACATGTCTATACTAAGGATTGAAGGTTTTGAGTTTCCCTATTTGACTATACAAGCCATTTGTAGTATGTCTTTTCACAGAGGCATGAGGACCATCTGCAGCAAGAGTAGAAGCAGCTCTTGCAATACAGGTTCTTAAGCCACAAAACCAAATCAAAAACTGAAAATTATTTATGAAAATCTTATAATTTTTGTACTCGACAGAGCAGTAATTGCCAACAAGAATTAGGACAGGGATATTATTATATTTTTAATTTTAGACTAGAAAGTCACATTTAAATTTTTTTTATTAAGACTTTCACTAAAATATATTTGATAGTGTAATAGGAAAGACTTTCATCACATCATGATATCAATAATTAAAGAACTTAATCGTAAAAAAAAATTCCATTATGATAGGGTGAAAGCCTCGTCCAGTTATTAAATCTATTTCCGAGCCTTTGCCTGAATATGTCAAATTTCATATTTTAAACAACCAGTTTTGTTTTTTTGCATGAATATCAACGCTATCACTTTGGCTTCAAATCCAAATTTGACTTCAAAGGGTTGTTATTTGTCTATTTTCAACCTTTTTCCACTTTGATCCTCGTGTTCTTATATGGGGGACTGTGGCTCAGTCTTATGAGAAATTTCTCCTTTGGCTGATCAGAAAAGAAAAAAACTACTCAACTCTGAAGTAATTGAGACAATTAATTTTGAAACAATTTATTCATATTTTCTATTCAAATATCGTCTATCGAAATCTTCATACTTAGAGGTATGTTTAGTTCTCAAAAATATATTTTATTTTCTATCTCCATTTTCACTCTAAATATCTAAATATGATAAATAAAGTAAACTAAATTGCAATTTTTTTTTTAAAGTTTCAAAATTCATTTAAAAAGATTATAAAAAATAATTTAAAGTAGCCGTCCTGCAGATTTTCAAACAATTGTAAAATAAAACTTTCAATAATTGCCCCAAGCAAGACTAACGAGGTTAGCAACTATAGAAAATGTAGCCTTTTCAGTGTCAATAAAGGCCAAATTGTCATCTTATTGGAAAAAATTGGATTTTCAGGATGACAGAGGTCCATAGAAATGCTACACAAGAGTTTGAAAAATGCAGGCCAGTCCCACAGATTTAAAACCTTGCGTGCGTAAGTTCCACTTTAAAGTCGAGATTGGTGCCTGCAGAGTTAGGGCACCAAACTGTTCTCTGGCAAAGCCCTTTTTTATTATTAAATATCTCAAAAGTCAGCAGTCAAATTGTAAAGAAACACCCTTTTTTTGACCAAAAGAAAAAACATGTTTAATCGTAAAAAGATTTGTTACTTTTGATCGAGAGATCATTTGTTAATAAATTGTTATGCAGTGTCAGTAAATTATATATAACATAACATCTCATAAAAATTAATTTTAAATATATTTAAAAGATTAAATATATTTATATTTTAAAATTTTAAAATTAATTTTTAATAAAATTTAATTATGTAATTTGCTAATAATATATAGTATTTATAAATTAACATTAGTGCATCAAACATAAATTTTTTGTTAATGTGTTATTTTTGTAAAAACCATTAATCAAAAGAAAATGTTATATACACATGAGAAATATACATACATATATATATTTACATAATTGTTTGATGATGATATTTTTAAAAATAAAAAAATAATTTTCTTATTAAATTAAAAAAATAAATATGAAAAAAATCAATTATATGTCTATTTATATGTATATATTTATGTGTATATAACCTTTCCCTTAATTGGAATATCAATTAGAAATGTCAAAAATGCTAAATTAGCAAATCAGTAATTTTTAGTTTGAGTGCGTCAAATTCTCAATGGCATCATTGCTTACAATCAAGATTTTAGTAGGCAAGGGAATGACATATGCAAACCAGCATGTAATATTGATTATTGACTACAATCATTTTTCAAAAGTGAAAGGGTCAAAAATATCCATTATTTGTAATTAAAAAATTATTTATGCCCTTAATATTTTATTGTAATTAATTGAACTCTTAATTTTTTATTTTAATTCAATTGAACCCTTAATTGGATGAAAATTAGTTGTGTAAAAATTAAATCAATTAATCCCTAAACTATAGTTAATTAAACCAATGGAGAAATTTTAGAGAGAAGAGAAACGAAAATAAAGAAGAAAAAAAATATTTATTTTATTTAATTTTTACATATATTAATTACGTCATGTGTCAAACTTTTATATATTTTATTGATATTACATGAAATTTTATCTTAATTGAAAAAAATTTAATGATATTATCTTTTTTATCTAAATAATGGCTTAATTGAATGTAAATAAATATTAAAAGAATTGATTGATTATAATTAAAAAAAGAATTTAAATGATTTTTTAATTATAGTTTAAGGGCCTTTTAGACTGTTTAGCCTTTTCCAAACTTATTCCATGTTAGAAGAAACTTCAATTGGATTGAATTTTGCTGACCAAAACAAAGCATTGCCCTCTATAGTGTAAATCTATAAATAAGGGAACTCTTCATAAACTCTTAAAATAAAAAACCACCTATTCGAAAATAATCAGTTTCAAACAATGAAGTCTCTTCACTTTTCAATGTCTCCATTTCTTTTTGTTGTTCTCTTCTCATTGTCATGGGCAATTTCAGCTCATGCTGATGAGAATTTTCTTGATTGCCTTTCTCTTCATTCCAATGACTCTTCTTCCATTTCAAAAGTTATCTACACCCAAAATAATTCCTCTTATTCATCTGTTTTAGACTCTACCATTCGAAATTTTAGATTCAATACGCCAACTACCCCTAAGCCTTTTGTCATTGTAACACCGCTGCATGTTTCCCATATTCAAGCAACAATTTATTGTTCAAGAAAGCATGGATTCCAAATTAGAATTAGAAGCGGTGGTCATGACTTCGAAGGTCTTTCTTATGTCTCTGAAGTTCCATTTGTCATTGTTGATATGGTTAATTTACGATCAGTTGACATTGACATAGAAAACAAAGTTGCATGGGTTCAATCAGGTGCGATTCTAGGAGAACTGTATTACAACATTGTAGAACAAAGCAACGGTACTCTTGCCTTTCCAGCTGGTCTTTGCCCCACTGTAGGAATTGGAGGGTACTTAAGTGGAGGCGGTTATGGCTTATTGTTTCGAAAATACGGTCTTGCAACAGATAATGTTATTGACGCACAGCTTGTTGATGTTAAAGGGAGAGTTCTCGACAGAAAAGCCATGGGAGAAGATCTGTTTTGGGCCATTCGAGGTGGAGGAGGGGGTAGCTTTGGAATTGCTGTTGCTTGGAAAGTACAGTTGGTTTCAGTTCCAGCAACTATGACTCTATTCACAATCACCAAGACCTTGGAACAAAATGCGACCAAACTTATTCATCATTGGCAATCGGTTGCACCCAAACTTCCAGATGAATTTTACTCCGGTGTTACTGTAACAAGGGTGAATTCTAGTCAAGATGGGAAGATGACGATTCTAGCTTCCTTCCATGCTTCCTTTCTTGGGGGCATTGATGAGCTAATTCCATTGATGCAAGAGAGATTTCCTGAGCTCGGATTGGTGAGGGAAGACTGCACTGAAATGAGTTGGATTGAATCGATTCTCTACATGGGCCAACTTCCGAATGAAACCTTGAATATTTTACTTGATAGGACTCTTCAAAGTCCTCTTCTGAGTCCTTCCTTCAAATCAAAATCTGATTATGTGAGGAAACCCATTCCTGAAATTGCATTCCAGGGGATATGGTCAAAACTTTTTGAGGAAGAAGCACATTCCGCAAGCATAAGTTTTATTGCTTATGGAGGCAAAATGGATGAAATTTCGGACTCTGCAACTCCATTCCCACACAGAGCTGGCAACTTGTACAAAATGGTATACAGCGTGGGTTGGCAAGAAGAAGACAATATAAGATCTCAACGGTATATAAGTTGGAGTAGGAGACTTTATAGTTACATGGGTTCCTTTGTTTCAAAATCACCAAGGCAATCGTATATCAATTACAGAGACCTTGACATCGGGACTAATAGCAAGGGTAAGACAAGTTTCACTCAAGGAAGTGTATGGGGTCGTAAGTATTTCATGAATAACTTTGACAGGTTGGTTCATGTGAAGACGATGGTTGATCCACAGAATTTTTTCAGGCATGAACAAAGTATCCCTCCTCATTTTTCTAGATTGAAGAAAAACCATCATTAGGGTAATCCCAGGAAATTGAAGTTTTTTTAGAAAGATTAATTGGAAATTATGTTGCAAAATAAAGGACTCTTTTTATTTGTTAGGAATTTGGGCATGCATGCAAGATGAGTAGCATGCCAATAACTAATGTACCATTACTCTCATTTGCTTTGTAATGATATAAATGAAAACTAGATACACATCATTTTATTTTGAGTCTTTTGAAATGTTTTTAAAAAAATCGGATTAATTTGGATAAAAAATTTCTTATATGATTTAATTCAAATTCCTTTTAGTTTGGATTCAAGATTAAATTCAGTTTTTATGTTCCTAATAAAATTTTAGTTAAGCCGAGTTTAAAGTCTAACATTTACTTTGGGTTTGATTAATTGGACTTTATATTGCTTTTGGGACTCTGTAATTATTAATTGGCCCTCAAAACCCAAATATAAGCTGGCTTTGATTTTTTTTTTTGTTTTGATTTATTTCATTTTATTTTTTAAAAAAGAGAAAAAAATGAATTGAAAAAAAGTAAAACAAAAAAATAAAAAAATTGAAAAATTTTGGAAAGGAAGAATCACATTGAATTTTTTGAAATGTTTGAACTTAAGAATCAAGAAAAAATATAGCAAAAGCACAAACAGTTTAATTTGGGAAAAGCTCGGAAATAAAGAAACAAAAATCAGAATCGGATGTGCCCAACAGATTCGCTTGCTCTAGAAATCCCATTTCGGAGTATTTTCCTGGACTAAGGCACTCGTTAGTCTTATTTATTAAATTGGAATAGTTTTAGATTTAATTCCTAAAATGAGGTATTTTATATAGGTGGACTTCATGTCAGATAAAAAAATTTTAATTAATTAAAACTTTGTCAAAAATTTAATCGGAACTACTTCTCCATTAGTTTATTTGTTTTCATTAAAAAAAAGTAATAAAAAATTACACAACTAACAAAGCATAATTTTTAAGAACTTTAAAGAGGAATAAAAGGAACTAGAAAATCTCAAGATCCCTTAACTTAAAGCACTAAGTCAAGGTGGGGCAAGAAGCCATTTTTGTCCAAGATGAAATCAAGGAAGATGGGGGCTTTGAAACCCAATATACCGACGATGCATATCTTCTTTTTGGATTGGATGGGCATTTCTTAGTCAAACAGCAACTCATTTGACTTCTTTTATATCCAATTTACTTTACAGCTTCAAAACCATTACATATTGTTTGATTGGCTCTTCTCGATCAGTTAGCTTTTTTTTCAATCCTTAATCTAAAAACGAAAACTAAATTTAAAGAGAGATGTGGAGAAGAGGTAAGGGAAGGAAATGATCTCATGGCTCACCAAAAATCAGCAAAATCTAAGAAATTTATTGATACAAAAACCCACATTACAAAAAAATAAGAGAGAAAGAGCAAACTCAAAACTAGAACTAAAAAATTAAACAAAAGAAAAGAATGAAAAATTTTTTGACAAGAGAAAGCTTATATAATAAAGTTTGAAAAGCATTTCCGTGGTGGGAGGTTATGGACAAAGAATTTGGTGAATACTGATATTATTCTTTCATTACCGTTCAAAAAATCTTGTGATCAAGAAGATCCAAATAATTTATCCAATAAGCACGTTTCTTGAAACTTCTTGAGATATCTTTTTATTATGGAGAATTATCCCTTCTTGTAGAAGTTGCTGGGTTTACAAGGACAGCAGTAAAATATTCAAAATCAAGTTATAATACCCTGAATTATTTTCTAATCACATTTTTTTCACTTTACTTTCTCAGTATTTTATTTTTGGATACTTTTTTCATCTCTAACCAATGTCTATTTTGTTGGCAAAAGAAAAAAAAATGAAAGAGTTAAGCAGAGTTGCAGGGGGTTAGAGAAGGGGAGGTCGGAGAAAGAAGAGTAACGTAGAATTATTATGCTGACGTAGAATCTACTTATACTATAATACCTGCTTTTGCAAATAAAGTTTAATAGTACTCTAATTAAGATAATAAATTTATGAAGTTCATTAGTTTGGGAAAAAACTCTCCTATTTCGTCAAGGATTTTTTTGGCAAAAACTAGGATTAATTCCCTATATAAATAGCCACAATCACAGCAACAAGGACTCAACACAGAAGCAAAAAAAAAAAAAAAAAAAAAGAAGCAGGCAATTCACACAAAATTGTGAGGAAAAAAATCTAGCAGTGGGCTTGTTTTATTTCGGGTTTCAGTCTTAGGGATTTTAGGATTTTTTTTTTTTTTGAGTTTCTAGGCTAGAGGAAAAAAATAAAAATTAATGAATATTTTAATTTAACAAAAAATTTAATTAAAACGAAAATAGTTAATTTAACAAATTGTCAAAAATATCTGTGTCAGTTTACTATTGGCAATTTGAAGTTGGTACTTTTATATATAGTATTGATATTGATTGATACATAATACATAAAATATACATATAAGTTCATAAGTTCGTAAACATTTTTTTTATAATTATTTTTTTAAGAGATGTACATAAGCATGTATGTTGTTTTCCTTCTTTCATAGTTCATCAATGGAGAACAATGTTTATGGTGTGAAGGGTTTACCCATTTATATATTAACAATTTTCTTGAAAAAAAAATTATTTATTAGAATAGTAAACGTATAAAAGAGAGAAAATTAAAAAAAAAAAACTTAATAATTTGTTTTACCTAATTAAGTATTTAAAATTTAAGGGTATTATTTTTTTAAGCTTTCAAATTTAAAAATATATTCATCATTGATGTGATAATAGTTAGCCATGCACCTATAATAAATAGTATACATGCACTATCAATAAATCAAATACAAATCTTAAATTTATATTTGATATAAAGGAAACTGTAGCCTAAAGAATTAAAGAAGGCAAATTGCAAGTATCGAGGAGTTATCTTAATTTTGCAGAAATTTATCTTTTAAAACTTAAATTAAAATCATATATATAAATATATATATTTTTTCTCTTAAAAAAACTTCTTAGTTAAGAAGACTCTAAAGAAGGATAATACCTTTTTTGGCAAGTGAATAAAACCTCTCGTGTAATAGACTAAGTCATAACTTAACATACTTGTTATTGTTAATTATTAAATTTAAAATAACAAATTAATTACATCTAATTTTAGAAAAAGATCATATGACATTGATCTTGGACCAGATTTGGCACAAATGACCATAAAAATAAAGCAATGATTATAAAAATATATTGATGAGCTATATATGGCCGAATAGTCAGTCAATATTCAAAGTCAGATTCAGATTTTGTTTTTAGTTCAGACTTTTTTATCAAAGTCTACGTAATCCAATCAACATTTTCTTGGTTGAGTTCGCCAGTAGGCGGTCTTTTCCTGGTACTTTACTTTTATATGCCAAAATTTACCTTTTCAACTACATTTTTTTTAATATTGTTTTGTCAATTTAGTTGGATTAATTAAAAATGTTCTGCATACTGGAAAAAAAAATTCAAGTTCAAAGCAAGTTTTCGCCTCTATCTTCATTCAATAAAGCTTCCACAAATTAATTAAAAGTGTTCACACTTTTCAACTTTTGTTTTGTAAAAATAATAGTATTTTTCTCATTTTCGTTTGACGTTGGCTTAGTCTTAAGGAATTTTCTCCTTTTATCATACCCTGAAGATGCCAATTTCTCAATTAAATAATTACCTTTCCTTTAGTTCGAGGAATTATCTTACATTTCAAAGCCATTTAGACAATTATTAATAAACAATTTTTCATATAATTTGTTATGTGATATTATACACATTTATTAAATTTGGGATAACGGTATGAATGATATATGAATTATAGTAAAATATTTAATGTGATATTTAAATTTAAAATTTTTTAATTATAATGTATAAATTATAAATTTATTAACTAATATAATATTTGAAGAATTATTTATTTATCATATATCATTATTTGGGGTTAACAACATTATGAGTGAATACTATATTAGTTAACCAAGAATTACATTAGATATTTTTAAAATTTAAATATCATATTAAATATTTTACTATAATTTAATGTTCGAGATGTTAACTCATTAAAATTTAAAATTCTTGTAATTTTGTATTCAAATTAGGTCTCTCACCTTAAAATTAATTGATTTTAAGTTGAATGCTTAATATATTATCAAAACTCACAATTGCTCTATTATTGTCTATTATTATTACTATTTTTTTTTTGAGTTTGTCAAGTGATATTTTTGCCTATAAATGAATGAAACCTTTGAAGTGGTATTATCTTATATTTATTAAAATTTGAATTTTTTATAATTTTATATTCAATTTAAATCTCTCAACTTACAAGTTATTTTAAATTAAATGCTTAATATGATTTATTATTCATTTTTTTTAACAAATTTGAAAACATTTCGATAACTACAGGTTTTTAGATGCAGTTAATAAAAAAAAAAACATGATGACATTTTCATGTAATTTAGGCCAAATTGTTGTCTTGGAATTAGTTGGTTTTTTAGGATGACGACAGTGTTGGACAATAAAATTGTTGTATAAAGGGTTTAATATAAAAAAATGTTGAGTTGCAGAGCTCTGACAACGGCTAAATTTTCAAGAAGTCAGCAATAGATTCAAAATGGCTTAACTTCAACGCGTCTGCGTAAGGCAAGCAAGCTAGGTTCCTGCTGAGGCGGGGGATATCTTGGGTTACTGCAGAAAAGTCTGCACCTGAGTCAGTTTAGAGGTTTGACCATAAGCACGGAACTGCAAAAGAAATTGCCACTTCCACCATACCACTTGTCTCTTGAACAAAGGCGAATTATTCTGAAATTTCAAGAGTCAACCGAACAATTGGTAAAAAATAATAAACATGTTTTTGACGTTTGTCTTGGTTCGATTTTCCTATAGTTTTCCAATTATAAAAAAAATTAATTTATTTATCATGAATGCAAATACTAAGGAGCAGATTCTAAAATTTTAAGGCTTTAAATTCAAATCACATCTTTTGAAATGTTGAACTTTTAGGTTCAAACCCCATTATTTGTAAATTTTATCCTATTTTATATCGAATAAATTCAGCTATACATTTGTTTGATCCAAGGAAGTTCAATCCCAAAATACTTTTAAAAAAATGCAAAGTAATTATGAAAATTTATATTTGGTCACATGGCTGATTACCAGGTCAGGTAATTTTTGAGCGCGTCAAACCAAATGGCATCATTACTTACAATCGCTTGTTATCGATGATTTTGTGAAGGAAACGAATAATGCACACCGGCAATTATATTGACAACAATTGTTTTTTCGAATCAAACCTATAACTTGAAATAAGAAACCTCAATTTGAATGCACATGGCGGCTTAATCTCAAAGTCAAAGCTTTTCCCCCATGTAATGTAATCCTATAAATTGGAGAACTCTCAATAAACTCAGCACATAATCATCAATCAATGAAGTCCCTTCACTTTTCAACGTCTTCAGTTCTTTTTGTTGTTCTTGTCTCATTATCATGGGCAATCGATTTAGCTCATGCCAATGAGAATTTTCTTCAGTGCCTTTCGTCTCTTCATCCCGAGAACTCATCTTCTATTTCCAAAGTTATCTATACACCAAATAATTCTTCATATTCTTCTGTTTTAGACTCTTCTATTCGAAATTTTAGATTCATTACGCCAACCACCCCTAAACCTTTGGTCATTGTAACACCATTGAATGTTTCCCATATTCAATCAACAATATATTGTTCAAGAAAACATGGGCTCCAAATTAGAACTCGAAGCGGTGGTCATGACTTCGAAGGTCTTTCTTATGTTTCTGAAGTTCCGTTTGTCATCGTTGATATGGTCAATTTACGATCAGTTGACATTGATATAGAAAACAAAGTTGCATGGGTTCAATCAGGTGCGATTTTAGGAGAACTGTATTACAACATTGTAGAAAAAGGCAACGGTACTCTTGCCTTTCCAGCTGGTCTTTGCCCCACTGTAGGAATTGGAGGGTACTTGAGTGGAGGAGGTTATGGCTTATTGTTTCGAAAATACGGTCTTGCAATAGATAATGTAATTGACGCACAGCTTGTTGATGTTAAAGGGAGAGTTCTTGACAGAAAAGCCATGGGAGAAGATCTGTTTTGGGCCATTAGAGGTGGTGGAGGGGGTAGCTTTGGAATTGTTGTTGCATGGAAAGTACAGTTGGTTTCTGTTCCAGCAACAGTGACAGTATACATAGTTAGCAAGACCTTGGAACAAAATGCGACCAAACTTGTTCACCGGTGGCAATCCGTTGCACCAAAGCTTCCTGATAACTTTTACTCTGGCATTACATTCTCAAGGGTGAATTCTAGTCAAGAAGGGAAGATGACGGTTCTAGCTTCCTTTCATGCCTCCTTTCTTGGTACCATTGATGAGCTCATTCCATTGATGCAAGAGAGATTCCCTGAGCTCGGATTGGTGAGAGAAGATTGCACTGAAATGAGCTGGATTGAATCAATTCTCTACATGGGACAACTCTCAAATGAAACCTTAAATGTTTTACTTGACAGGACCCTCCAAAGTCCTCTTCTGAGTCCTTCCTTCAAATCAAAATCTGATTATGTGAGGAAACCCATTCCTGAAATTGCATTCCAGGGGATATGGTCAAAACTTTTTGAGGAAGAAGCACATTCCGCAAGTATAAGTTTTATTGCTTATGGAGGCAAAATGGATGAAATTTCAGATTCTGCAACTCCATTCCCACACAGAGCTGGTAACCTCTACAAAATCGTGTATAACGTGGGCTGGCAAGAACGAGATAATATGAGATCTCAAAGGTATATAAGTTGGAGCAGGAGACTTTACAGTTACATGGGTTCCTTTGTTTCGAAATCTCCACGACAAGCTTATATTAATTACAGGGATCTTGACATCGGAATGAACAACGAAGGTTACACAAGCCATGCACAAGCAAAGGTTTGGGGTAGCAAGTATTTCATGAATAACTTTAAGAAGTTGGTATATGTCAAGACAATGATTGATCCAGACAATTTCTTCAGACATGAACAAAGTATTCCTCCTCTTTTTTCATGATCAAAGAAAAAAGTCATTAGATATAAGTCGAAAGGGTCGATAAATTTTATTCCATTCATTACCTACTTTGCTTTGTAATCTCTGTAGAATTTTGTTTGTCATATACTTTTTAACTCTTTTGTCCCATTATATCTTTTCAATAAAGTGACGTGTCCTTTTGGCAAATTGATAGCACTTCAGATTTAGAAGACATAGGATAACATCATGTTTCTGATCCTTTATGCTGAACAAGTAAAAATTTCAAAATAACTTGGGTTAAATAATTATCAACTTAATTGACCCATGACCTAATTGGTTAATTAGGTTTGGGGCTCGGTCAATTAATTGGGCTTATAAGCTAGTGTATTAGGCCTCGGCGGCTGAAGTTGTAAAAAAAAAAAATACTGGAACCAAAGTACTAAAATACATAAAATAAAAAAATACAAAAATAAAATTCAATGGAAATATACAATAACTATAGAAAATACGAAAGAAAAGAGCTGAATGGAAGAAGAGTACGTCGTCTCCTCCTCTATGCCTTCTCCTCCAACTCACCCCCGCCATTGCTGCCACCAAAACAGACAGGAGATGCACTCAAACATTATATTATAATGTTAACATGTTTAATTAAATGAAGACAGGACAAAATTATTATTATCTGTTTACACCTAAAATCCACAGGCTAATCAAAAGGTACATGTGGCAGACGTGGATGATTTAGAAAGGAGTGACATGCATTTTGGTAACTAATCAACATCGAATAAGTGGCAGAATAAAGACATGTCATGTCAACCACTAAGATGTTTTCGATACATAGGTTTGGCAAATGATGTGGCATGGTGAGATATGTATGTATGGCAACTGATGTGGTAAGCTTTTTTGGTGCATTAAAGTTTAGAAGATTTTTTTAATTCAGGGTTAGGCAGATCATAGGTTTCTAAGAGATTTTATATTAGATTTATAAATCTTTTATAAAACAAGATTATTGATAATAGAATTTGAATCTAAATATTTAAAGTAACGAAATATTCGAATCTTACCAACTCAATCAATCTCAATTGGCATGGCATTTTTAATTTTGTATTAAAGGAATCAATTTAGCGACCATGTTAGCCAAAGTAAGGCTTAATTGGACGAATCAGGAGGTTTTATTTGGCAAGAAACCATCAACAGCAGTTAGAAAGAAAATGGTTAGCAACTATACTACCTAAAAATAAGCAAAAGATCAGGAGCGGCCAGATTTTAAGGAAAAACTTTTATCTTCTTATTCATGGGGCCAGATTTTAAGGATTTTATCTTCTTATTCTTTTTTGTAAAGCTCTATTTTCAGCGATAAATTTGCTTGATTTGGTGTTTTTTTTTTTTTTTTTGTAAGCTCATTGAGTATTTGGTTAATCAACAATTGCTTTTAAGCATTTGGGAGTCGTGCTCAATTATCTTATGATAGAACTTTCAATAAAAAAGATTCGTCTTAACTCAACGTTAATTGATTTTAATTCTATTAGAATTGTTTTATTTGATATTTTGATGTTTTTAGTATATTCAGTTCTTACTTTTAACGATTTAAACAATTTTTTGCAATTTTAAAAAAAAATCATTAATTCAATCATTCTTCAAAAGGTATAAATCACATGATCAATTTTCACAAAGGTGTCATTTGTGTTAGAATTTTTCAATAAGTGGATTACTATTAATTGATGATTTTAATATTTAATAAAATAAGTTGATAAATTTAGTCTTAATACGAAAAAAGTATGAAGTCCAAATAATTTAATGTGATCACCTAAGCATGAGCTTTGTACATCTTATTAGGTCAGTATGATTTGACATTGTATAGGCCTTTAATTTGGTAAACCTTTGATGGGGAGATTTCTAAGGTTTAATATAAATTGATTAATGTTCCTTCTTCATTTTTAAGTAATGATATCTACCCATTAAGAGTTGTCAGTAAGAGAAGAGTAAAGAAAAAACCTAGAATCTTTTCAAGAATTGGTGTTACTTTCGCTTATTATCTATGACTATCAAACAGGTATATAATATGATTAAATTTGGTGTTTTAATATTCATATATGATTTTTTGGATTTAGAATTATACTTATATGTGGTATCAAAGCCTAATCATGTGATATTATGATCCAAAATTATGGTTTTAAATTTTAATTTCACATGAAATTAAGTTTTGGGTGAAATAATATGATTGTCACAACCCAACTTTTTGAACTTATTTTTCCAAAATTGATTAGGCGTTTTTGTTCTCTTTTGTGAGAGAATTAAAACCATGTATAGAATATTTCCTAATTCATTTTATAAAGAGAGAAATTGGGTTTTAAAGATTTTGGTTCAAGATTTAAATCAAATTCAATATTTAATTAAAACCTTGATATTTTATGGGTTTTAATTCAAATTGGTCCTCGAATATTGTTACCCAAGTGCTATAAGATGAAAAAAAGTATTTAGTTTCATAAAATTTTGGATTATATGCCCAAACTTAAAATAAACCAAATTCGATTATGTATAAGTTTTAATCCAAAAATTTTGGCTTAAATTTATGTTGATTCATGTGTTTTGATGTGAATTGAAGCATGTGCTTAGTAAATCTATGTGTTAATTGAAGTTTAAAAGATTCAATTGCATCAAAAATCAAAGAAAACATGAAATTTGAAGAAAGTTTGAAACAGGTTAAATATGAGTTTAACAATCAAGTTTCTTTTAGTCAATTGATCTTGTTTTTGTAGTTTTTGATGTGATTTTTCACATGAGTTTGATAAAACAATAGCTTAATTGAGTTTTGGAACCCTTAATTTCATGAAAAACACAAGAAAGCATCGAATTGGCTTAAAAAATCAAAATATATCCAAATTGGGTCAAATTTGACCCATTTGGGTTTGGGTCAAACCGGTTAGATTGAGAAGATGAACAATGTCCAGTCATAAATGAACAGTACTGAGTCAGCACAGTATCAGTTAGTGAATAGTGCTAGAATCAATAAATTGGGCTATTTGGACTCATATTGCATCCGTTTTCAACACCCTTTGTTTTGTTGTTTTGAAATTTTATGCTACATTTATTTATTATTTTTATGAAATTTTAAATGGCATAAAATATTTATTATAATAATAATTATTATTATATTTAGGCACATAATTCTATTATTTTATTTTATAATACAATATTTTGGCATAGCTTGGAGTTTATTAAAGGTATGTACTCTCCTATATGATATTTAAGATTTTATGTACTCTTAACCTAAATTTTATATACATAATTAAGAAATTCAGTAAAATTTGTTTTTACAAAATTTGGTTATCCATTTAAAATGCAGCATGATTATTTTGAAAGGCAAATGAGGTTAGAACTCCATGAGGTTTTGGTACAACTACAATCAAATTGGTAATTTATTTTATAATTTCATTTGATTATTAGATAATATTGAATTATTATTTATTTGAAATCATTAGAGTTTAAAATTGTTACCTTGGTTTATTTTTCCCATGACTATGTTGACATTATGTAACATTGTTCATTTTTGAAATTTTTATTTTTTGATACATGATACATAAAAATAAAATATTGAATGAAAATATGATATTATCTATAAAATTAAAGACACTTGGATTAAATGTAATAAATTATTTATTGATTTAGTGAGACACATCCAATTTAAGTATCTCACAAGAAAAGATTATACCTATAATGATCCATCGAGATACGTATTAATTATTAGTTTCTCACACAAAAGTGATCAATTTTTAATGACTCAAAAAGATACATTATGGTTAAGTATCTCGTGAGAAGTGTTCAAATTGCATACACTTAGTTAATTATGCAAATTAATATTATGTGCAATCCAAATTTCTCAGTGTGAGAATATACAATTGATTAATATGGGTGTTTGGTGGCTAAAGTGGCTCACTCATTGAAGTTTGCAAGATTTTCTCACACACAAGAATGGGAGTATTGTCAAATTACCTTATACAATTGCCTACCTAAAGGGAGTTATTGTGTTTGAGAATTTGGAGTGTACATGAATCATAATTGTTGAAGGTATGTTAGTCTAGAAGGTCTATCTGCCCAAAGGAGAGTTTGTGATGATGTACTTAGACTTTTTAGTTTAATTACAAATAACACATCATGAGCTAGTGCTATTTGTATGAATTGTTGCTCATATGTGAAAAGTTACATTCTTTTGTCTTGAATATTAAAGTTAATTTGATGATAAAGATTAAAAAACTCCAATTAAAAGTGATTTTAGAGCTTCATTAAGTCATGGGTTTTTTTTAGATATAATCGTTAATATTGAATATTTTGTTGATTATTGTCCAATTGTTTTAAAATGTTGCATTTTTTATGACAAGTCTTTTTACTTAAGATAATTTTTGAATACTTTAAATATTGTTTAGTTATATAAATCCAGAAAATAATTGTCACATACATGATTAACAAGTTTGCTATATTACTTTGTTCCAATTTATCATCATTTGAAAAAGTGATTTTATAAGTATCATGCTTATGGAAAATGTAAATATGTGAAATTAAGTTGGTTATTTTGAAAGTATGCGTTATATGTGATAAATATATTTAATATGCTTACAATTTTTAGTTTTATTTATATATATCACAAAATTATGATTTAGAATTTTAGGCATTAAATTTAAAGTCTAATAAAGTGCATAATGTGATATATATTTTAGAAAACTCATGTTTTTCATGGACATATGAAACATATTATTGACTATAATGATTTATGAAAGATTTTAGATTTTATGCTAGTTTAATGAAATAGACGGAGAGATTGTTGTTAAAATTGTGCAATTATGTTATGAGATATAATATGTGTTAAATAATTGCATAGTAAATTTGTTTCACATAAATTATTAGGCTAGCTTTTAAAATCTTTTGCTTTTATAAAATATTTACTAAATCAAGTATGCTTTCATAAAATATTAGTTGTTTTATAATAATGATATTATAATATGTTGAGAGAGTAGCAAGCAAAAATTTATTTTTTGATAAGTATTTGGAGCATGTCTTTGGTATCATGAAACTCGATAAATATTATCATAAAGATTTTGGGTAATAAAAAAGATGAATTGTGAAAGTAAATGGATATAAATAAAAGTTTTAGTCTATAAGAGTAGACAAAATTAATTTTGCGAATTTCAATATATTAAAAATTTTGATTGAAATGTAATGTTGTTAAAGCTTGCTAGATTAACTTGCCTTAATGTCTATGTCACAACTCATGTTTGGTAATATTGAAAATATTATATTCCTCACATGAATATTAACATGTACATGAGATTGATTTATACTAAAATTATAATGTGTATATGATTGTCTAGAAAAGGTGCATTGTTAGCATTCATCATGTACTGTTATGT